GCGTTCCTGCACTTTTTTCATAGCAGGAACGCCGTTCCTGTTACCTGTCCTGCAGGACCGGCCCTGCTACCTGCACTGAGGGGCCAGCACACGCTGTGTTCCCTTTCCAGCTATAACTCTCGCGAGACCCGCGGCTGTTACCATGGCAACGCTCCGCACAGGCGAGTCTCGCGAGAGTTAGAGCTGGAGAGGGAGCACAGCGTGTGATGGCCCCTCTGTGCAGCGGCTGGCTCCCTCCACCGGACCACCAGGCGATCTCCCCCCTCCCTGACAAGGTAAGAAGCAGGGAGGGGGGGGATAAAATAAAATAAAAAATATAGACACATAAAGTTAAAAAAAATGCTCCCCCCCCCCACATCATCCAGCACTCACACACCCATCATCCAGCACACACACACCCATCATCCAGCTCACACACACACATCATCCAGCACTCACACACCCATCATCCAGCACACACACACCCATCATCCAGCACTCACACACCCATCATCCAGCACACACACACACACCCATCATCCAGCACCTCCACACACCCATCATCCAGCACACACACACCCAGCATCATCCAGCACACACACACCCATCATCCAGCACCCACACACCCATCATCCCCACACACACACCCATCATCCAGCACACACACACACCCAACCCCAGCACACACACACACCCATCATCCAGCACCACACACCCATCATCCAGCACTCACACACACATCATCCCGCACACACACATCATCCAGCACTCACACAAACACCCATCATCCAGCACACACACCCATCATCCAGCACTCACACAAACACCCATCATCCAGCACACACATCATCCAGCACTCTCACAAACACCCATCATCCAGCACTCACACACCCATCATCCAGCACTCACACACCCATCATCCAGCACACACACACCCATCATCCAGCACACACACACACATCATCCAGCACTCACTCACACATCATCCAGCACTCACACACACATCATCCAGCACTCACACACCCATCATCCAGCACTCACACACCCATCATCCAGCACACACACACACATCCACATCATCCAGCACTCACTCACACATCATCCAGCACTCACACAAACACCCATCATCCAGCACACACACCCATCATCCAGCACACACACACACATCATCCAGCACACACACACACATCATCCAACACTCACACACCCATCATCCAGCACACACCCATCATCCAGCACACACACCCACACTCAATCCAGCAAGCACCCGGCCACACACATCATCCAGCACCCCACACACACATCACCCAGCACCTCACAAACACATCATCCAGCACACACACACACATCATCCTGCACACCATCCAGCACACACACACATCATCATCCAGCACCCCACACAAACATCCATCATC